CTTTGTATATAAAGAAATTTGTTACATTCCGAGTTCACCTAACGAAAAGATTTAACTATTTTGTTCTAATATTTAGCTATTTCTTACGTCTCCGGTACCTAGACATTACGAGGATAATCATGTTTTTCTTAATAAGCACTGAGTACTTCTTATATTTATTTTAAGAACTTAATATTCCTAATGCTGCTTATTATTACTTCTTAGTTTTAGTAAATGCGTTCACGCCGGTATGCGAGTAATGATATGACTTAACAAACTTAGACATGTTGCATGCAACACTCGCCATATTGTATATGAGCAAATGTTAAGGCTTACTTGATATGAATCAGCAGCCACCGTAAGACGGTAGTATTTTTTCCGATGCAACCATGGACGCAGGTTCGCAAAGCTGGAATTCGAGCTGCCAGAATGACCTTGTGCACGTGCAGTTGAGCACCTCCGTGAACCTAAAAGGCCGAGGGCCGTTTAGAGGACAGGACCAGCAGGTGCATTTACCTCAATGATGAGGCCAGTGAGCTCTTCAGCTAGGCGAAGCTCATTCAAAGCGGGGCAGTTGCGAATCAGGGGTAGTTTGTCCTGGAACAGTTGGGCCTGCGAGACAGACATAGCTAATACAGTTGAATCGAAGAATAACCCTGAAAGCAACGCCGTGTATATTTAAAGAGTGTATTTGTTGCCTGCACATACATCACGGCTATCTACTGGTTATGAGTAACGTGCAACTTTTTTACCGTTTTTGATTGGACAGGAGACGACAATCACACAGTGTCGAGAGCTTTGGTTAGCAATGCAGGGTAATTTTATTGGTCAGGGGAACCTGGTAGTTCGGTCGGTTTAGGCGCCTTGGGTGGTCTGCGTTGACTGTGATATTGCTTGAAGTGTCCCCTAGTTAATGGCGAAGCCATGAGAAATAACTGATTTAAAGGCAACAGTTTTTTAAACTTTACTTAGTTGAGGAATCCAGAGAAATGCCTAGAAGTCCCACAGATACACATTTAAAGTTGACCTCATTTGGCCTTCTCAGTGTTTATGGATAAAACAGTTGAAAGAGAAAGCCAATTTAGCGGAATACTGCATGACCGATTGGTATGGTTTCAATATGGGATCTCCGAAAGTACCTTATGTATCACAACCGCTTAAGTAGGTTGAATTACCCATATTCTGCCAGATTTCTAACGCCATCCGTCGATTCAGCAGGGATTTGATAATGGCACTGAACTGCAAAGGGATCCTCCAAAGGTCT